TGGCCATGGAGCTTCAGATGCGATGACTCCGGGCTACCCGTAAAACGGGTGGTTATCCTGAGATTAGTCGACTTGCATAGCGAGTTAAATATCCAGGTTAATAAAAGAAAAGTTTAATCAATTTTAGACTCTTAGCCGTTAAAATTGAATTTGATGTACATAATTTTTTGAGTGAAATTCTAATAATTGGTTACTAATTAATGGGATAACACGAAGCTACTTATAATTATTATAATTAGTATTCATATATGAATATGATTATCTACCTAATAATTTATAAATTAAGTTCGAAATTATGCTCATGGTTTTTGGTAATTCATAACTTAAGTTTTATATACAACTCATAAATATCATTTTTATATATTTATTATAATAAAATCGTGTTTATAAGACGTTAAACATTTTAAGTTATATAATGCATTATTTACAGGCCTTAAGTTTATAGGGTAAAGTTAAAAAAATGTTTCATCTAAAAGTGTTATAATTAGTTTATAATATGTTTGTTGACGTCTTAACAAGTTATTTAGGACATTTTTAAAAAATGAAGTGTTATATTAATTATTTTATATGACATTTTTTTGAGAAATTTCTTATAAACACATCTTTTTATAGGACATTTTTCAAATATTGTTTTGTAAAGAAAATAAAAAATGTATCGTAAATTTATTGTAACGGTTTTGAATTAGACGCTTTATTGTTTGGTTGTATAAACTTAAGTTTTATAAAGAAGTTTATTAGGACGCTTACGCATTTTTGACGTCCTATAAACCTAAGGTGGCGTTTGGTTCAGAAAATGTAATATGTTGGAATTGGAATATGTCAAAGGTAGGGCTGTAAATGAAGCATACGAACATGAACGAATGCTTGTTCATGTTCGTTCGTTTAACTTAACCGAACAGATAACCGAACACGAACAGTAAATGAATGAACAGGAACGATAAACCAATGAATTTTTTTGTGTTTATATTCGTTCGTTAAGAAAATATGTTCGTTTGTGTTCGTTCATTAAGAAGCTACACAAACATAAACAGACAAACTTAAATGAATGCAAATGAACGAACATAAACAAACGAACGCAGATAACAAAAAACAACAAGCATTACTCATCATTTCATTCCTACTGAGTTAACATAATAAAATGTAAAACCAAGTAAACTTAGTAAGGACAAATTAAAATGAATTATAAAAAAATCAAAATTATTGATTTCATATTAAAGTAATAATATATAAATATATTTTTATCTATAAACGAACATAAATGAATATAAACAAACATAAACGATCGTAAACGAACATAAATGAACGAACAAAGACATCATTCATGTTCGTTCTTTTCTTAAATAAACGAACTTTTTGTCGAACGGTTCATGAACAGTTTGTTGGATGTTCAGTTTGTTTACGACCCTATCAAAAGAATTGGAATAGAATTTAATAATGTTTGACAATGCGTTTGGAGTAATTTGAATGAAATCTATCAAAAGAATTTGTTGTTAAATATTAATTTGTTTTTATTATAGGTTAATAAATTTAGAGGCCAAAAGTGTTCTTGCATTTTTGTAAATAAAGATGTGTTCTCGTTTGAACACTCTCTCTCTTTCTCTCTATACATACATACATACATACATATATGTGTATGTGTGTGCACGCGTGAAAGATTATGTGAGAAAGAGAGTTAAAGTGAGAAGTGTAAGAAATGATTTGAACAAAATGAAAAATTATGATTGATTGAATGAAGTTTGTACGGTTTGTACAAATAACATGGTTTGTAAAGTAAACATCCTCTAAGTATGTATATGTGTGTGTATAGGGTTGGGTTCACGTGAGACAACAATTTTACACTTGAAACTTTACAAGAAAATGTTGTGAAGGTAAAAAAAGCCAAACGGTCACAGTAGAAACACTGTGAAGGTTACATTCACAGTGTTTTGCTGTGAAATTTAAAGTGTAAAAAAAAATCTCACGGGTCTCGTGAAGACATGCTAGTTTCATATAAACTCAACCCTATATATATATATATATATATATATATATATATATATATANTATATATATATATAGGGTTGGGTTCACGTGAGACCAAAAGTTTTTCGTAAGACCCGTAAGACCAATTTATATTAATTGATCAACTTTATAAGCATATGATCTAATGGTCTAAAGTTGTACGGTGACAATTTTGTAATTATTGAGAAGTCTTGTGGCGTTTATGAATGTTCAAATCTAACGATTGTAGATCTAATCCAATGGTTGAGAATTGGTTTTACGGGTCTCACGAAAAACTATTGGTCTCACATGATCCCAAATCTATATATATATATATATATATATATATATATATTGAAATTTGAGGGAATAAATAGACATTAATTACTAAAATTATTTTGAAAGCAATAAAGTATAACCGTAGACATGGTTGCCATAGGTAATGATTGAATTTTAGCATTATTGTACAAGGGAAATAATAATTTGACGAAGGCTCTTAATCAAAAATTTATCATTCTTGATCTATATTGCATAATTTATTCGAACCAAAAGGTTCAAATGAGAATACCTTCATTTTACGAGAACGTGTGAACATTTTTTTACTATAAATAATCACATATTATACTATTATTCTATCACATGTGATACTAAATTAGAGACACATTGACGATTTTCGATATGATATTGGTTGCAGGCCAAGTTGTCCTTACACCACTAAGCCCCCTCACAAGTATTATCACATTTGATAAGAGTGTTGTTGATATGCTACTATAATCCATCAAGACCATCACATGTAATGTTAAATCATAGACGCAGACAACCTTGGCGCAACCTAAGTCATCGAACACGTCATCCGCACATTACAGGGTCCCCTTACGTGTATTATCACATGTGATAAGAGTGTTCTCGCGTTCTCATAAAATGAAGGTGTTCTCGTTTGAACATTTTGTTGGGGTTATTTCTGTCATGAATCTGCATAAATATATAATTAATACTTTTTATAATTAAAATATGTAATTTAATAATCCATTGGATCTCATTAGATTAATCCAAATTTAATATTTCACCAATTAGTAAACCGTCTCAACCAATTATTCATGTATTTTCTTAAGTTATTAAAAAAAACACTACATATAAATTTCAATTAAAAAACTACCGTAAAATGTAAATAATTATATATAGTTACTAATCAAATGATAACATGATGGTCATTGGATTGGTTCGATTCAGTTTTATTGGATTATAAACTGTCGTCTAAGAACTCACAAATCCAATATATATGTTGAAATTTTGGATCCAATCCGATCTAATCACAATTGAGCACTCGGTTATGATCGATCAGTTCTAATTAAATTGAATAAGATAATTTTCCGCACACCCATAAACATTACCGCTGTATATGAACGAAATCAAATAGTGTCTATTAAACACAACTATTTATGTCCAAAGTATCTTTAGTTTTGTGATTATGAACTTGAATTACCAATATATTTGATATTTCTTTTTAATAAAAATAAATGATGGGTCACTTTTACTAAAGGTGGGGGACTTATTAGGTGTCTATTTATTGATTTTCATTTATGAGGTAAATTAATATGGTGAGATAACGAGTATGAAATCTATATAGTTTTAGTATTTTATATTTCATATTTAATATATATATATATATATATATATTTAATTCAGTTGTTTCAAGATTCATCACTGGAGAGATAAGTGCCGACACCAATGAGAGGGGTAGAGATCGTAGCGGTTGATGGGGGGTGAGGAGGAGAGACAGATTGAGGATGACGTGTGATGAACGTTTGAGATTTGACATGTTGACTTTAGGTATTTTTTAGGACATGACGTGTTATAGAAGTTTGTGGATACGTGAGATCAGAGTAGCAAATTTTGTGTCATAACATATAATGGGCGTTCTGGAAGCAGATGGGTAGGGCAGATATTTTATGTCACTTATCTGTTAGCTGGTTAGGTTGCCTAACAAACTACAACTTTCCATTTTGCTTATGTTGTTCATAATTGTTCTAAGGATGGTATAATTGTACCTACTTGCTTAATCTAATTTCATGTTATTGACCGTGTTCGCTTACTCTAATTGTTTAATCTTATTTCATGTAATTGATTGTGTATGCTTGCCCTACTTGTTTAAACATATTTCATGTTATTTGTTCATTCACTTGTGAATAAACAATAAGTTGTATATATGAAAAAAAAAATTAGGTTGAGTTTGGTTTTGTACGACATTATTATTATGTGTTCATTTACATGTGAATAAATAAGTGGTACAAACACAACATGTTTTTGATGAATTTTATTTTGTTTGGTATCATTATTATGTGTTCATTCATATGAACCATTAGTTGCATGTATGAACCAATTTTGGGTTGAATTTGGTTTTATACAATATCATTATTATTCAATGTGACAATGTGAATATCTCCGTGATCCCCGCTTATATATTAAATAAACACTATACTTTTTTAAACCCTACAATGAAACAACATGCATGCCTTTGAGCCATTCACCTATGAATATACACAAGTAAATGCATCAATGGTGCATAAAATACATAAACACATTTAAAGCAAATGAAAACAGTCTAATTTTAATGACATGTGAATGTAGATTAACATGAAAGAATATCATAATGCATTCACATGTGAATAAGCATTCACATACAATGGAACAAGTATATGTGTCTTTCACCAACAAAAAGAAGTCATTCACATAACCAAAACGGGATAATATTCACATGTGAATTCAAATAGAATAAAAACTAGGCACATGTGTTTGAGACGAGAAGGAACCGAGGTTAATATTCACATAGACACAAAAACATTGACTTGTTTGTTCGATTATGATTCTTCTTCAACATCCACAGACCATGAATGTTCATCCTCGTCTTCATGATGGTATTTTCATTGGTAAGAGAAATTGAATCGATCAGTTATGATAAAAGAAATGTTAGATGAAAAATGCATTCAAACCCATAGCACCTAATGATATACGTTAAATATATGCCAAGAAGAAAACTGCAATTATATAAAGCACTCGAAAAATAAATCAAATGTCGGAAAACTGCTAGCAAAAAAAAAAAAAAAAAAGCTGCTAAAACTCATCAAAACCTCCGGGAAAACGGAAGTTCCTGCTCATTCTACAGTAGAGTACAAGAGTTACAAAAATCTATTCCTGCAACACTCCTCTACTTCTTCTTTTTCGATTTGTTAGACTGCGATAGAGTATAAGCAGTTCCCTGTCGACATAACAACTTGTTTGTTAGCCAAAAGACAAACAACGACTAGTAAATAGTAAGCAACAGAAAAAGAGAAAAAGGAATAAGAAACACACATCCCTCTATCTAATGTAGACCTCTGCTAACCTATATGCCCCCCCCGCCCCCCTCCCGGTGTCCAATCCTCAACCTATCGAACTCCTTTCTTCACGTCCTGCTAGCTACATGTCCCCACATCTAGTCTGTTACCCTAGTCTTGCGTCTCCAAGAACTCTTACTAGAGGTCATGTCATCGGAAATGTCTAAGCATGCCGTGTAAAATTTGATCAGGGATGAGGCTGAAAATTGTGTTCATGTTAGCTACACATCCCTACACCTACTATGTTTACCCAAGAACTCCTAGAGATCGTCAGAGATTTAGAAGGCTACCATGTCAAATTTAATTAGGGATGAGGATAGGAGTTGTAAAAGAAATGAATCATAAAAGGGGTATGTTTCAGATATGATAAGGGTATTTAAATATGTTTGGTGCTTTTAGAAATATAGGAACATGTTATAGTTTGATGATGTAGGGGGGATCAAAATATGCTTAGGAGCCACCCCTGCTCATTTTTGAATCAAAACTGATCATCTCTGCAAGAGTTGTGTATTCGATAAAAGAGCGTTGCGAGACATGGAAACATATATCTAAACAAATTTTGACTCAGGGTATCAGTGAAGAATAAAATCAGGTCAGCGTAACTAATGTAGAATCATTTCTTTAGTTTTACACTAACAGGAGTAGATGCCACATTTGAGACTAAATTAAGTGAGAAATTAGCCAATTTAAGGAAACTTTGGAACGTTGTAGTGTGAGAAATACAAACCTGCAGCCACTCATCCATAGATGCATCAACCGTCCGAGTTCCAACTTCCACCTTCACCCTCTTGGTTTTCTGAGTCAAACATATGAGCCATGGAAGGCAGAAACAGTCAAGTATCGTACCAAAAAAAATTAATTAAAACATATGCGCAAAGAAGGGGATCTTGTAAAAAAAATTACTATTGGAAATCTGAAATGTAGCTCTAAAAATTTCCTGCCAAATCAACATGTAATATCATGTGCAATAGCCAATGACAAATTCATTACAATGTGAAATTGAAGAACATAAAATATGTGTGTTAAATATCAATAAATAAAGGAAGAATTTTTTTGGGAAGTGGTATTTGCACTCCCATCTATTATACTTGTAGCCCAATTCTTATCTTTAACTAGTAAAGTTTACAACTATATCCATTGAATTTTGACAAAAGGGTTGCAAGAGGAGTTGCTGATTTTTTTTATTTTGTTGCAAACAAACCATCATTCTTGGAAAAAGAAAAAAACGAAAAGAAAACTACAATTCACAATAATGACCGATTTGGATAGAAGTTTGAAGTAAGATGGTTTTTTTGCATCTAACTTCAACTTCCCCAAAATCCTCGTTCTTGCAAACTATAACGTTTCTTTTTGGCATTTTCACAAGAACGGTAGTTGCTTTGAAACGAAAATCCAAGTATAATGGTACAAATACTCGATTACTTGTTTTGAAAGGATGAAAGGTCAATATTAGCACATTGTCAGTTTCTGAAAACCCTAGGGATCAAGTGGAAAAAACCAAATTTGAGTGCCAGTAAAACAAATGGAGATGCAAAAATCATTGCTTCAATTCTTCTGATGAAAATTTGCAAGTACCTTGGAAAGGTTTTGTAGCTGACCACGAACCCACAAGCCAAGGAGGACAAGAAGAGCAAGACCAAGGGAAACCAGGAACACTGTCTCAACGCTAATAAGGCCACCAGCTTCAGTAACTTCAATGGTGCCATTGTAGAATGTATTCTGGTATGGTAGATTGTCTATCTCATACACTATTGTTCCAACTAGATCAAATGTTCCAGGCTGTAACAAAAAGAACAGAATGCTTTTGTAAAACGGTAATGAAACCAAGTGAAAACCACAGTTGTCAAACAAATCGCGAATCATTACGCCAAGTTTATGAATAATGAAGTTTAGCAATAAATTGAATCCTAGACTAGCTCAACTTTTTCCAAGATAAGAAAAGGGCATTTATAAGTGTAAATTACCAAAAGGATAAACTACTATAAACAATTCACCAATTTGATAAACAACAATGCCCACGAACTAATTTGACAGATATTTGTTCAAAAAACAAAAACAAAGGGTGTCAGATTGTTTATTAGTCATGCTGAAATGCAGTGCATTTTTAGGAATCGGATTTCTGGCCAAAGTTCTTTTTTTTTAATGGTTAATTGGAGAATGGAGGAGAATTTATTCGTCAAACTGGCTAAAGTAATAATATACTATTAAATTAGCAAATGGCCTAACAGGGAATTTGTCATTTTAATTATTAGCCCTATTTATAAATATAAAAGAAAAATGTGTGCATTCTAATGTTGTATCAACGATAATAACTTTTCCTAGCCTATTAGTTGTTAGTAACAACTTCACAAAATATCAGCAATGAAAACTTTTCCTATTCACGTGGCTGCTAATAAGTTATAGATCAACAATCTCTACACAAAAATAACACAAATACATTAAGAAATCTTGGTTATATATAGAATCATATAATGTGAACTATTTTCTGATACAAGTGTGACTCGCCAATATGATGGCTCAAACAAGATATAGATTTGCAGGTCAACATTTCTTCGTGAATCACATGCTTTTGACATCTATGGTGAAAACCATGAATAAATAAAGTACCATTTTGAGGCAATTAATGTAAAGCTTGTCTGAAAGTGACAAATTTCTACCTGTAAAAACTTGCTGACGGCGAATATATAGGGATAAGTAGCTTGAACTGAACCAGGAACTGATGCATTGTTGAAAGCCTGGAAACATAAGCAAATATTAGTCATATCAAACTCTTGTGTATAAAACAGTTGTACCAAGGCAAAACAACATGATAAATGCTCAAATGTCAGGAAAGATAATGATACACACAATATGGATGGTAAATGAGAAATTAGTTCAAGAAACAATTAGTTTATACAGAAGTTCGCTACAAAAGAAAGAGCTAACATAACAAGCAACGCCTTTGAAAGAGTACAAAAGTAGATAAATATGCAACGTCAAACTAATAAGGCAATGGCAAAGGCCTAGTATTTCTTAACCAAAGGAATGAAGATAATTGCACAGTTCAAATATTAACTAAACATGTGCGGCAATCTCAATAATGATCATCTTCTTCCTTAGCAAAACCACAATTAACAGTTTATAGAGCTAAGTAACTGGTCAATAAGTCTTGATGTGATACCGAAAAAAAACATAAATAAGTAAACAACCAAGCAACTAATGTATCTTTAAACTCAAGCACAAGACCATAAAATAAGCTTACGATCCCTAGGCCAATGTGTAGCACTTGAGATGATTTCATGATTATGTTTCCACGTCATCTTCACATACTTAACATGGCGACAATTTATTGATATTGAACAAAACAAAATGATTTTCCATGATAGTAACATATATTACCTGTGTAGAGAGATTTTGGACCAACATCTGATGATCAAAAGGAAGATGGACGCTAGCATAAACTGCAAGGACCTTCACACTCTGCTCCCCTGTTCATCAACCAAATTGTAAGTAAGATCATTTCTCTATATGCAAACGTACAACTAACGTATGGTAACAAGGGTCAAAAATAGATGCTCATTGCTAGAAAAATTAATTAACAGGTACATCAACAACAAGGTAAACAGATGTCGAATGGCATCACTTGCCCTTCCGAAATAAGGAGCACACGTTGTATAAGAGGACGTGCTAACAGTAAAAAAGCTAACATGCTTGATGGAATATGGTAATCAGAAAGGAAGCAATTGAAACACTTATGAGAACAGCACGTTACCCTCATTTTTCAGTCCAATCAAAAGTTCAGTCTCTTGCCCTGCTACTACAACTGCAGAAACAAAGAAATTAAAACAATTTCTTAGAAGGTAAATTCGATAGCAAGAATCCTGATGCGTAAAAGAAACAAAGAAAGTTTTAAGTTTCATAAAGGGTCAAACAACTGCTGTTAACTTACCTTTCACAGGATTCTTGGGGAAAACACACACTGTTTTGACACCAGGAGCTGGACTAAAATTCCCACCACCAAAGTCCTGGATGTCATCACCTACAATCCCAATATCTCCTCCTTCCTGAACAGTTTCAGTGACAAGCTCAGCATCAGCATCAGCATCCGCGTCTGAATCAGACTGAGACCTAGCAACTGCAGTGCAAAGAATGTTTATTTAGAATTAAACAAATCAATTAACCAATTTCCAGCGGCTCCTACATAAACAAAATTATGTCATATACAAAGGTAACTGATACAAGACATGAGTCCAATTTATTTCATATTTTCTCCTTTACGACAATCTGAGTGCGATTAATACATCAAAAAATAGAAATTAAACACTTCTGATAAACAACATTTCTGAATCAATACATGCATGCACAAACATCAAAACCTAAAATCGGAACCATTATCAATACCCAGAAACGGAAAATAGTAAGGCAATTACTTTCCTAAATTAAAGCAATCAAAAAGTCAACTACATTCAGAAAGAACTAGAGGAACCAAAATGACATAGCACATTAATAGATCTATAAACACAAAATTTACAACAATACAACCAGGAATAGAATCTAGTGCAGATCACTTTGTTTGAATGAAAAAATTACTTCAAAATTCGATCTTGATCGGAATTATAAGAAAAGTTTGATGAATCCAGATCTGAGATGAGATTAGTACCTTGAAGGAAGAAAGAAGAGGAGAGAAGAAGAAGAGCGAGGATGAAGAAAACCCTAATGTTCGCCATGATCGAATAAGGAAAGATACAGAATTCAACAATCGGAGTAACAGAGATTCAAGAGCGATACTATCGAGCTCGCATGGCTTTTATAGGTGCGAAATTTACGACATTTCAATATAAATGGAAAACAGTTTCTTTTTTCCATATAGAAAAATACAAATAATTTAATTGAACAATTTAGAGTAAATTGCATTTTTGGTCCCTGTGATTTGCTCAAATTTTGAATCTGGTTCTTAAAATTAACTATCTTTATTAATAACCTCTAACTTTTCATTTTCATAACACTTAGGGTTTATAGAATTAACACTGTCAGGTGACGATCATTATAAGAGATAAATCAGTCTTTAGACAAACTATAGAGACTAAAAGTGTAATTCGTCCTAAAATTAATTGTGATTCACATTTAAAAAGAAATTCTTTATTAAAAATATTTTATATATCCAATCACAAATCAAAAATTTTAAATTAAAGTGTATATATATATATATAGAGAGAGGTTGATTATTATACAACCTTTGACATTTGTGCAACTAATACAACTCAATCTCAACCGTCCATTTCATTTGATTAATATGTGATTTTATAGAAGTTTTTATTGTTTTCTAATATAAAGTATTAATCATAATTAATGAATTATATTCATCTTCTATAAATATTCAAATCATAATAAATGAACTCTCATCATTTCCATAAATATCTCAATATATTGGGTTGCATTGATTGTACAAATGCGATGGTTGTATTTGAAACAAACTCTCTCTCTCTATATATATATATTATATATATATCGTATTTGGCGGGGGTTGTGATTACGACGAGTAGTGGTATGATGGTGGCAGCAAAAGTAGGGGTTTCTTTGATCTCAATCAGGAAAAAAAAACTTCAAATTAATAATTAAAGGGTAGTTGAGAAATTTAAGTTATTTAATGTCTTTGTTGTAATTAAGGTATAAAGAACATAGGGTCGTTTACCTAAACACTTACCCAATAAGCGCTTAATGGTAAAATTCGACGTTATCGCTTACTTACCTGGTAAGATTTTAGTCTACCAAAACGACATCGTATGTAACAACTTATCCAGTAAGCGCTAACCGTGGTAAGAGTTGTCGTTATCACTTACCGGGTAAGACTCTCGGTCCTTGCCTTGGTTCTTACCAGGTAAATTTCTTGGTCTTTGTCATATTCATCTAGTGGAGTAATGTGATTTGGTAAGCACTTACCTGGGTAAGCATTTGATAAACGGCCCCATAGTATCGTTTATGTAATATAAGTAATAAATATGAACAAAACTGACATATAATGATATATTTCCACAAATATGTTTTCATGTAGCAATCCTATCACACCAACAACTTTAACACGAAGTTCACAATTGAAGCACGGTAAAATCGGCACAAAATACGACCTTACAAGACATAATGATGGTGGCATTCGTGTCTTGGTGATCCATAAATGGTGTTCACCACTGAATCTTTTTTATCTAGCAACAGTTTTCTCGTAAACACCATCTCTACACATGAGTTTGTATATGTTTTCATATGGTGGTGTCTACTTACTCAATTTAATGTTACCAATTGTTGTTCTATCCTTGTGATCCAACCCTTTTGTCTTAGTGATGATATTTTACTGGATTATATTTTTCCTTTATCTGATATCGATTATATCATAATTTATTGTTCATCTTGTTTTGTTCAATATATGCCACTCAGAAACTAGAAGCTTGTATTTACTTTGGTCTTTCAACCCCTAATGTGGCAAAACTATCGACAAACTCTTAAAAGGCAACATTCAATATAAAAGCCTTTTCGCGTTAGATCATGGAAAATAAACCTTGACTACACAGGTTTAATTTCGAGGATTACTATAGTGTTTGTCTGACTATTAACTTCATATAATTAATCAAGATGCACACAAATTGACCAAGACAACCACACTTTACGAAAAAGTAAGGAAAATACAAATCCAAATCGATTGGAACAAATGAACGAAAAGTATAGAGAAAGATGATCAAACTGCATTAGTCATTTTACAGGGTTGAATTTATTTATGTTACATTTTTTAGAGTGAGTTACGGGTTTGGTCCATGTGGTTACAAAAGTTATGACTTGCATCTCTAAATTTGAAAAATTATGGATATGGTCCTTTTCACTAATATTGTTAACGATGACTCCGTTAACTTAGGGGCATTTGAGTTCTTTTATATTTTTTAATTGTTTTATTAAAAACCTGAAAAGTAAATTATATTATATTAAATTATATTATTTTATTTTATATTCATACTATATATATTTAATTATTTTATTTTATTGAAGTCTTTTTGTATCTTTTCATATGTTCTAAATATTATACAGTATAATCTTACTTGAGTATTTTTACGTTTAATTATTTATTTCATTATATATTCATATTATAATATATATATATATATATATATATATATATATATAGGGTTGAGTTCACGTGAGACTAAGGGTTTTTCGTGAGACCCGTAAGACCAATTTATGTTTATTGATCAACTTTATAAGCTAATGATCTAATGGCCTAAAGTTGCAAAGTGGCAATTTTATGATTATTGAGAAGTCACATGACAATTTTGTGATTATGAATGTTCAGATTGTCGATCAAATTCAAGCATTGAGAATTGGTCTTACGGGTCTCACGAAAAACCTTGGGTTTCACATGATCCCAAGTCTATATATATAATCCAAATATCTATATGGTAATATTCTTTTATTGTTGTAGAGAAAGTGGTGCTATATTACAGATGTAGTTCTATATGCACAAATTTTAAACCAGAACACATACATTTAGGGTTTTGATCTAAAAGAAACTTGCCCTCCTTTTTTAGATAATGAGGGTTTTCTGGATTTTAATTTCAAAGTTTGCTATGGTTTTTTTTGTTGTTTAATTTGCACAAGTTTATTGTTGGTATTAAGGAACATATTTATTGATGTTCTTGAAAACTAACATAAGAAAAGATGATAGAGAACCTAAATCCGATTGAAAAACACAAAATCAAAACAATAAACATAAATCAAACACTCATTTTCCACGATTTTACTTTTGTGGCCTGAGTTGGCATGGCTGGATGCAAAGAAAAAGAGGGGTAGGGTTGAACTTGGAAGGTAAAACATATGAGAAAAATGTAAACAAGACAAATAAAATAATTAAATATATAATATGAATATAAAATAAAATAATATAATATAATTAAATTTGATATAATTTACTTTTGAAATTTATAATAAAACATATGAGAAAAATGCAAAAAGACTTAAATGTTCCTAAGTTAACGGAGTTACCGTTAAGAAAGTTAGTGAAAGGGAGTAGTCGTAAAGAATGACAACCCTAGGAACCAAATCCATAATTTTTTGAGTTTAAAAACGCTAATCATAATTTTTGTTAAACTGCAAGGACCAAATCCGTAATTCACTGTACTTTTTATGTAAAAAAACTAGTTGTGGTAGTACGAAAAATAAAAAATCAACATAGTCCTAGCTTCAACCACATTCATTTACTTTGGAGACCTTCGAGTTCGTAATAATCATGATATGTTGAACTCTTATTTTTGAGTTTTTTTTGGAAGGATATCCCTGGTTATGTATGGATTAACCTCGACATATTATGACCGCTAGAAATCAACCCTGGTAAACTCAATGACACAATTGTTGTGTATGCTTGAGATTGAACACTGGCAGATAGGATATTCCATCACATCTCCTAAGGACCTCAACCACTACGCCACAACCCTTTTGTTTCTCTTATAAGTTCTTGTCAACTACTTTAACATCATAACTCTTATTAGGCGTTTGCAGCGCAATATGGTGCGTCTTAAAGCCAAAAGCGCAAGCTAAAGCGGATATGGTCGGTGCTTTTTTTCCAAACGGCAAAAATGAAGGGTTTGAAGGTTCTTTCTCCCCCTATTTTGAGCCACATTTGAAAATGTGGTATACTGTGAATTGTAGCCAACGAACTTGAAAGGTACAATCAATTGCATCATAACGTTTACGATCAAAAGTTCAACATATTTGAAGTTTGATAGTTGCATTTTATACAAAATTCCGCTACACATGACACAATTAAATCCAAATGTGTAATAAAATATGACCGAGCGTGAAACAAATCTATTTTTTAGTTTTCATAAAATCATTTAGCTTTTAAAACAAAACTAGCTTGCTAGAAATAACAGTTTTCATCCATGTTACGAATTTGGTCCATGTAGTGATGGCCAAACCAGCCCGGCCCGGGACCGCTAGAGGACCGGAACCGATAAGGACTGGCCCGGCCTAGCCCAGGACCGGTTTTTTGCCATCACTAGGTCCATGGCTCTAAAGCTTTAATGCCAATCTAGTGTTGGTCATGTGAAAACATTTTAGTCCTCCTACCATTTTTCACCTTTTTCCTATTTTATTTTATTAAATATTGCAATATAGACCTGCTTTACAATCCTTTAATGCAAACCCCACCCCCGAACCGAACCTCCGGTCGGCACCACTCTCCCACCGGCTCCACCACCGTTACCAACACCCCTGGCTTCTCTTCACCATCAAGGACCACCTTCCAATCCATCTTACACCACCAAACCACCCTTCAAAGGACCATCAAACTTCAGCTTAAGCTATATATAGTGCACCTAATGGCTTGTAGAGTGCAGGTTGGTCCACATGTTGAGGTTGGGTTTGCTCCCCCCAGTCAGCAGTTCAAGTCCCCTCAGGACCAGGTTTATCTAGCTGTTAACCTTTGGGTTTGGGATTAGTCGAGGTGCTCATAAGCTAGTCCGAACATCCACAATAATAAGAAACAACTCATGATGAGAGAACCAACTATAAGAAATCTAAGTGGCTTGTCCTGCACTAAAATACCCATATCTAAGAAAATCATACTATAATGATTGCAACTCAACCAGTAAATAAAGGCTAGGCCAACTCAACTGACAAATAAAAGCCAGGTCTAGGTCTAGGTCATGGTCACCAATTCAAGCCCCCTGTAGGTCACTGAATTTTCCCTGTCTGTTTATTTTCAGCACCTCATTGGATTACTAAAAGTGTAAGCAAGCTGGTCTAGACACCCATGGTTACCAAAAAGAACTTGTGCAATAGAAGTTGTACTTTGGCACCAGATTTGACAATTTCTAACACTGAAAATGGTTACCCCATCAAAATATAAGGTTCCACCATATGTAAGCTTTATGTTCCCAATACTAATAGGAAAAGAGCAAGCAAATTGCCATTGCATACATATAGTATAAGATTCAAAAGCAAATGGGAACAAGTAACATACAAACACATTTCGCAATAACCACCTCAGAGAACATACGACTTGACGGCATTCTACTTTGGTTGATCAGTCCCCATGGATCGTATACCTTTCCCACTTCTTTGTCGGGTCATATATCTGCAATTGTCCACCACAAATTCATAAGAAAGCAACAAATATTAGTTGGCCGATAATTTATTTGAATTTGAACCCACTCTCAAGCTTCATCGTGTGCTAATCAGGTGCAATTTTGCTATCAGAAAATAGCATAAAGAAAGTGAGCACTGAATACCCATGGCTTTTTCACTCACAACAAAATGTTCATCAATCGCATACTTAGATCATTACAACCATATCAATTCCGTCATCTAAATCCAATTGAGGAGTAATCTTATTATATTTAAGTGTTCAATAGTTGGAGGAACGATTTTGTTCACAAACGGCACCCTTCATCCACTATATCAACCAATTATAATCTCAATCTTCCCTTCAATTTGTTAATTTGGATGAGAATGGGACAAAGACAATGTAAGTGACATGACTGCAAGAGCCTCATTATGTGTTTTGATAAATAAAAGAATTATTATGCATGCAAGTGAAAAAACGACGAGTCATGACAACTCAGTGACCATATACCTATTTTGCCAAGTAGGGGTAGGTTCATTTGAGAATCATAAGAACCACCAACTATTCATGAATCAAGAAAAACATCAATCATGAATATTAATTAATAGTTGGTTCTCATGGTTTGGTTCTCAAAATATTTACAGTTTCTAAATGAACTTTCCTCTTGTCAAATAAATATACATGCACCATAAACAGAAGAGAGAAGGGGAAAAAGAGAGGGGGGGTACCTCCCATCTTGAAGCAGGAAATATGTGCTTGTTCTTCTCATACCAGTGCCTCTCGACAACTTTACCAGCATGCGACTATCAAACAAAGAAAATATTAATTCACTATATACCCCAAGAAAAAGCAGCCACAAGGGATATAGCATCTTAAAGACACATTAGAGTCCAACATATTACCACTTTTAAACAAATTGATTTTATCTACTAATGGTTTCGACGTAATAGCGCTGAATCTGGGTGATTAAATTAAACATTATTACCTCATCCTTCTCTATGGTTGCATCCGCTATCGTTCGCACATCCTCATGCACATCAAAGTGGAAAAGCTGTAGAAATAGGAAACATGAAATATATATAAAATGGTCATATATAGTGTTCATGCAATCGTTGAAACTAGTGGAAACCTTTTTTTTTATTAACCTGGATATCCAACCCGCTATGCGAGCCGACTAATCACAGGGCAACCACCTGCTTTGCAGATAGCCCGGAGTCGCTGCATTTGAACCTCCGTGGCCAAAGGGGATTTTTATTCCTCCTTAGATTTGAACCTGGGACCTCCTGGTACTTTTGACCTTTGGAGCCAAGCTCAAACCAATCAGGCACCACCCTTGTGGTTAACTAGTGGAAACTTCAAACTGAAAGAAAATGTAAATAAAAAAAAGTAAAAACATACCGGCCCACTTTTTCCCCTAGCTTTGTTCACGATCAGCTCATAGAAACTGTGTTGCTGAAAATGGAAACCGTTGTAAGAACTTAGAAATAAAATTTTCAGAGTTGACTCATAATAAATATACTGAATAAGAAAATGTATCGGTGAGTGGAGTGGAGTGGAGTGGAGTGGAGTGGAGTGGAGTGGAGTGCAGTGCAAATTTCTCACATGTGGAATGATGAGATCTTCTTTCACATACAGAAGGTTTTCAACTGAAGTTGTACGTATTTCTCGAAATTCAGGTGCAAGTTGCTGCTGGACAGCCCGCAGAAACTCGCCAATCGTATCGCCTTTTCGAACCTGCATCACTCGTCTGTGGCCTGCTCCATCCCAGTAACTGTAAGTGATTTCAAGAGCCTCATCTGCAATCAATCAACATATGACTCAGAAGTCCATTTCATATAAATGCCATACAATATTAACTCATTATAATTTAAATTACTTCGAATCTGCTCTTGCTCACGTAACCATTGTTTCCGCAACCTTTCACGCTCAGCTTGCTCCTCTGCCTCCCTCTCACTGAAAGAGTATGCTTCACACCATGATGGTGACAATTAATCAGCTTAAAGAAAAAGAAAATTGAGGATGTTTTGGGGGTGTGATGTAAAAAGGGGCAGAAAGATTAACACACCTGTCCGGCAGAAAGCTGGTTTCTACTGTGGGATCTTTGCCAAAGCCTCTTCGGCCAAACATATTTGATTCTTTATTTTCTGCATATACAAGACACCGGTTTGTTAAGGTCATGGGTATAAAAAAGGTACAATGGTTAACATTTTTATCACAAGATTGACAAAGAAAAGGATCTGTGGCAACAAACTCAAAAAATGAAGAAATAAACTTATACTTACTATCCTCCACATCTTCTTCTTCCCCGTTCTCAACATCTTCACAAAAAGATAGCCTTGGGTTAACCTTGATTTTCCTCTTCTTTAGTTTTTGTAATTGAAGCTCCTCCTCCCTAATATACAAGGGAATAGAGAAATGTATACTTAGCAAAAGACGGTAAATATAACTGCAAACATGAAAAATAGACGGATATTACTCACTCTTGTTGTAGCTTTTGAAGTTTCTCTTTCTCTTCTTCTTCAATCTTGGTCCGAATGTTAACTCTCTGTATAGAAGTACAGTCAAGCAAAATCACGTCTTTTCTAAGCAGTAAGCAGAGTGAAACAAGTAATAGTATCCAAATCAGCCACTCACCTTCTCAACATACTGCTCCCTAGTGACCAGTCCAACCGTTTCCTTCTTGAAGGCAGTCTCAAGTATCTGATCAATATTATTCAAAAAATGCAGTACTTCATAAGCAAATGGCCAACAATATATGGTGCAATCTACAGCTCTTAAAAACATACAAATCCTATGTGGCAATCGAAAAGATCAAATATGACATTGTGACCAAAATACGATTCAAGAATATGACCAAAATATATAATGCGACCAGGGTCAACCAATTAAGGCAATTGCAAGTTTTTAACGCCTGCTTCTTCCTCATATTTGTCGTCTGTGGACTTCTTCCTCATTCCTTTGTCCTCTTCCTCCTACCACAACCTCACCATTCTCAAGAGCCATCATTGATTACAGGGACTCAACCACAAGTCCAACAACAGCTCCATGATGAATCACCATGGCATCTTGATAGATGAGCCTGCTTAGGTTCCCATAACCCAGTAATAAACTGTTTGGAGTGATTGTATTTCCATTAAAGCATATGGGACGACGAACAGGAAACCAAAGACAAACATAAACGCAGATCAACCTCGTTGAAGAAGAAGGGATGTTCTTGAGGTTCCGGCAGGTCTATTATTAGAGCATCAGGTATGTAAAATCCTATATGTTTTGCAGTGCATATGGGGACAATGAGCCACTAACATATCATGTTGATGCATCACCCCATCCATATTATCGTGCTGATCTATCTGTACCTATAATTTGCTATGAGCCAGCTTGTGGAGCTCAACATGACCAACACCTTAATTCTCACTTTCCAGCAAACGATTCCTGTTAGGAATCCTTGTTATGCTGCTGCTAACTCCTTAGGGTGACATCCCCTCATCTGCAGCTGCTGGGCAAACACCTTGGTATAAGTCTAGAACTAACAGAAGCGACTGTTAAAATTGGGTAATGATTTTGGTACCCATGGTTTTAAAAAGCATGTGAGGTGTATGCCTCAAGACCTGCCTCAAGGCAAGGCAGTCCAAAATCGCAGCTGAGGAGGCGCCTCTCAGTCCCCAGACGAGACGTATGCCTAATGCCTTGGTTGTCTGAGGCGGTGACCGAGACATCGAGACGTGAGGCGGTGGAGAGCGTATGCCTCACTATAGAGGCTAAATTATTTAAAAATGACTGAAACCTTCCCCATTTTTTTGAAAACCTTGCTCTTCTCTGGTTCTCCTAAGCTCTATCTGCTACTCGTCTTTTGTCCTTCGTGAGTTCCAGTTTTCTTTGCGTTCTCTACTTCGATTCTTCTCCAGTTCATCGGAGTATCATGTATATGTATATACTGGATACACTTCTTTTATATTTAGTCTCTACTATATGTCGCAGTCACAGTCACTTCTACTCTCACTTTGTTGATATTTTATTTTATTTTCTTTATGAGCTTGACCATATTAATATATATATTAATTATTAATAGATCAATAACTTTTCCTTTGTTACTATATCTGTATTTTGGTGCTGTATATCCTTTTAGTATATGACATATATTATGTGTCTACTACTCAAGTGTGTATATATATTGCATATATTTTATGTGTATAAGCAGTATAATGCAGATTGGTGTTTATATTTTATGTAGTAAAAAAAAAAATTATATATACTGGTATATATTTCTGCCTATACACCTCGGACCGCCTCGAGCCTCGAGGCTTCCGCCTCGCCTTGTTGAGGGAAAATGCCTCAAGGCACGATTCCACTTTTTTAAAACCTTGTTGATACCAATGCCTAGGCGCCAGCTTTGATCCACATTTAGAACACCGTTAATTTAAGGATCATGAAAAAGAACATACAAATTTCCTTTACCAGCTTCTTCTCCTTCCTCTATGGTTTTCTCCCTTTGTCCCAGAATTTCTTCTTCTCTTCTTTCTGTTTTCTCAGCTTTAGGTTCGCACGGTGTGAAGGTGCACCCAAACCTTCTATTTCTCTTCTTGAAATCATGCATATCAGGCAAGATTCCCCTAAACCTACTGTTATCACTAGCTAGTTCACGCAACAATGCATGACATCCATTCCTTAACCTAACTTCTTTGCAACTGATTAGACCCGTTTGCATTGCCAAAAAAAATCTCAAAAAGACTAACCAAAATGATCCTACAAACTGTTAAATACCCCTCCGTTGCATAATTAAGTTCTACTATGATCTTGAAAATTCACCCGCACTAAATGAGAATGTAAACTTGATGTGACAAGTTTTTCAATTCCAAATGGCTGCTAACGCTTCTAAAAGTCAATATCTTCTATTCATAATCATAGTTGTTGAAAGCTCAAGGTCTTGGGCTTTTTTATAGTCGACGCTAGGCATATTCACGAGGCTCACTAAGGCGGTATGCCTTCGCTGAAGCACCTTGTGAGCCTAGGTGTGCCTCATAAAGAGTTATTAAATACCTAGTCAAATTCTAAACCTTAAAACTTCTCCCTCACGATTCATGCTTTAAACCCTTCTCCCTTCTGCCTCTATCGAGGTATTGTGGGTTGCTGCATTGGAGGCTTGTACTTGCCGCATGTTTGAGTTGTGTGTGTGTGCATATACATATATATACTTTTTCTATAAGATGCGCCTCGCATCGCCTCACGCCTGCTCCTCGAGCCTATGCCCCTGGTTCCTTTTGAGCCTTTAACAACTTTATTCTCTACAACCAAATTTTATCTTGTCAATCTCGAAGTTCAAAATCAACCAAACAACACCCAAAAATCTAACGTGCACACTGATGATGAGACGTGGTATATTTGAGAATGTTACATAACTGATCAGCACTAGTAAGATCATGTAGGTCAAATTTACAGGCTCATGCTGCCCTTAGGCTAAATTGTAGTCCATAGAATTAGGGCACAGAAATATAACCGAGAATATACAATCAATTGAACAAAACGGACATGTATATGCATATATACAAATAATCAAAGCTTACTTCGGAAGTTCCGGAGCCGAATTGAAGAAGACCGGATTGGCCTTGTGCGTTCTTACTTTTAAGCTCTTGGATCTTTTTCCTTTCTGCTTCTCTTTGTTTCTCAAGCCTTCGGATTCTTACAGCGTCTTGGGCGGTGCCCACGTACCCGTCCCCCATGCCCGACATCTTTCCTTCTAGGTTTCAATCCGTCTCCACCGCTCGTGATATGGTATTCGCCAGAAACGTGCCCTTGCAGAGAGGATTGTGGCCAAAGCGAGGGTTTGTGATCTTGAGGATGGAATTGACCGCTGGATTTACGTCTACATGTACTAAAATGCATAGTACTATTTTAAGGAAATGTTTAAAAAAACCTTGTTTGAAATGATTAAGATTTTGGATAATTTTTTGGAACAAATAAGTTTTTGAACATTTCAAAATATATTAAATAATTTTTTGAATAATTTTTTGGAACAAATAAGTTATTGAACATTTTAAAACATGTTAAATAATTTTTTGGACAATTTTTAGAACAAATAAGTTATTGGACAATCCAAACATATTAAATAACTTCTTGAACTTTTCTAAAACATGTTGAACACATTTTTATGACTTGTGCAACTACTTAAAGTGGTAAAATAGTGACAAAAGTCCAAAAAATACCCAATAAACATTCATATTTTGAATGATTAAGTCCCTAAATATTTTTTAAACCAAAAAGTATTTAGATCTATAAAATTAAATAAATATAACAAAAAAAATACTTATATTTACAAAAAAATAATTACATTTTCAAAAAAAAAATTAATAAAATTTATTTTAATTAAAATTAAAATATATTTTTTCAGT